GGTGATTTCTCGTTTTCTATCTCTGTCTCTCTGTCTCTGTCTTTCTGGCGAGCGCATGCACCCTGTAGCAACCCCCCCCCAAAAAAAGATTAAAGCAAGTAATAAGGAACTCACCTTTTTTCTCTCTTGTCAGTAAAAGTCCTTGAAATGATCATTTACAGTCGGTATCTCCAAATCCTCTATTCCTTTGTTAAAAACACTACAGTTGAGCTCCCATCCCCAGCCCTCCATGGTAATTGCTCTCATCAAGCAAACTGTGTCCTCCGTGGTGCTAAATTCAGTGGAGGCTTCCAAGTCCTCGTCTTCCTGAACCTACCAGTAATTAATGTCTTGAAAGATGATGTCTCCCTAATACACCCTTAATACACTTTCTTCACCTCTTCCCGAAGACTGCCCTCCTCCGTTTCCTCCTGGGTTGCTCCAAGGAGCCTGGCGCCTCCTTTGCTGTTTTTTCCTTCTTTATCTTTTGAGATGGAGGGTCCCAGGGTAACTCTGACCATCGTCTCTACCTAACGTTCTCTCTTCCTTGATGCTCTCATCCAGTCACATCATGACACATACACCTCAGTGCCCATGCACCCCAGATTTAATCCAGTCAAGACTACTCTTTGCACTTGACAGATCCACTTAAATGCCCAACAGATGTCTTAAATTTAAATCTCAAATTGAAACTAAACTGATTTCTACCTCATCCTTACACATACCCTCAAATTTAAAAAAAATAAATAAAAGATAGATTAAAAAATTTTAAATAGGGCCAGCTCCATAGCCTAATGATTAAGTGAGCTGGATCCCACATGGCTGAACATCTTGGCCCTGGTGGCTCAAGAAATGTACTGAACACGTGTGTGGGTGCTCAACATCCTGACAGTGTGGAAAAATGGAAGAGAAAGGGTTATAGCATGACCATGCCCCATTGAGGGGTGGTTTCTCCTCTCTCACTCTGTGTGTGTGTGTGTATGTGTCTGGGAAGTGCACATCTCTGACAAGTTAAAAAAAGATGAAAAACAAATGTCTAAGAATAAGTATTTAAATAAATGGATCAGTTGAACGATTTGCTCAGAAATCGTTCAATTGATCCTAAAGGAAACAAACATTTTCCCCTCATCGATGGATCACAAACTATCCTTTTCATCATTTAGGCCAAAATCTTAGGATCTTTTCTTAACTCCCTTTTTCTCATAATACCCCAGATTCAATTCTTTGTGATATTCTATTGTCTCTACCTCCAAGCAGAATTTTATTCTGGCTTCCATTGCTGCTCTAATTCTGTGTCATCATCACCTCTTGCCTGGATTACTACAGCCCTCTTATTTGGTCACCTCGTTACCCTCTGTTAGGAGAGGCCTGAGTAATTCTTGTAAAAGGCATATTGGATCGTCTCCTGCTTCATTTCACCAGAGAAAGAGCCAGCACCTCACAGTAGCCTCCGGGGTCCTGTAGGAGCTGCTCCCCTCTCCCTTTCCTCTTACCGGTCACACATGTGGCTGGAAGACTTCCTCAGGCCTTCGCCTGCCTGCTCCCTCCCCAGATACCCACAGGAACTGCCTTTCTCCAAGCCTTACTTTGAATGTCAGTTTCTCATTGAGGCTTACTCTGATGACATTTTTAAAGTCGTAATATGCTTTTCTTGCTTTCCTCCCCTTTTCCCTGCTCCGCATTTTCCCCGGACGTGGCACTGACCACCTTGAACATGCAGTATCACGTATGATGTCTGTTACGTACTGCCTCCCCTCACACCTCATTAGCGCATGAAGTGCGCAGGGGACCTTTGTTTCATCCACTGATGTATCTCAAACGTCTGGAATGTTCCTCGCACGTAGGATATGTTCAATAAATGCTCGAATTGGTCTGTGAAATAGGTTTGTTGACTGAATCGAAGGACACAATGTGATTAGAGTTGAGTTTGTAAACTCTGGTTCTCAGTTGGGGACAGAATTACTTTCTCAAGTTACACCTTCTCTTCCTCCTCCTCTCACCAACCCCAAGTCAGTAAGCTCACACTGTGGTCCACGGACCATCTAGTTCAGAATCGGAGCGTGGGGTGGGGAGATCCAGGGCTCATGTTTAAAATCCAGAGTCACCATCTCAGACCTTCCAAGTAGTCTTTGGGGTTCTGGAATTCCCCTTTGCGTCAGGTTCCCCAGCTGAGTCTCGTGTGTACACGCTAGAGTCTGAGAAGCGTTTACTTAGGAATCCTACCCATTCTTGCCTACTGTTTCTTCTCCCTTTGTGTACACATTGATGTGAAAGTTGAAAAATTTGAGAATCCGTGTTTTCTAGATAGGTTGTTGTGGTAACAAAGAGACCATATCCTAGGAACGACAGGCTGGCTTTGAATCCTGAACTTACTAATTATAAGCTACTTCTGTCTCTTTGGGCAAATGTCTTCTCTTCCTAGTGCCTCGGTTTCCTCCTGTGTGTTAGGTGAATACCGATAGTACACACCTCCAACTGCTGTTCTGAGGATTGTGTTAAGATATATAAAGTGCTTAGAACTGTACTTAGCACTAGTAAGTGAATTTAGAAGTACTATTAATTTAGAATTTTATGAATAATTGGTCACAGAGAGAGGAAAACAAGAGGTAGAGAAATGCAGCAGATCCATCCTTCTATACTGTGCTGGTGTTAGGGGCTAGGGTCCTGCAAGCCCAGCTACCAAAATCTGCCAGTAGACTGGAAGGATGAGGGGACAAGGGACCTACTCCATTGTACTTACCAGTGGTTCTTGTGACTCCAGCAGGGCCCCCTCACCCTGCAGAGACAGTTGGAGTGATTTCTCACCTTTCTTCTGCATTTCCCAAACCTGTTTCTTCATGTCCTTAGAAGTGCCATCAATAATGAAGCAGTGTTCTCTCCTCTGAGGTCTCAGTCCAGCCCTGAGAGTGTCTCTCTAGGCCTCTGAATGGCGTAACCACCTCTCTCCTCCGTTTCCTCAGCCCAGGCGTCATAGCTGCTTCCTGCTGGTACTGCCTCTGTGTTAAGTCGCTGTGTTCCCTGGACTTGTTCAAAGATAACAGCATCTGTTTAGCCAGTTTTCTCCATTACATTCTCTCTGTTAAAACAACTAGTGCAGTTGGGACCAGCAATTAGCGTAATGGCTGTGTCGCTGGACTCCCACGTAGTCAACCGCAGTTTGAGTCCTGGACCCGGTGGCTTAAAACTCATGCTGGGCGTGTGTGCGTGCGTGCCCAAGATCCCGAGAGAAGAATGGAGGAGAAGGAATTGTGATGTGGCCATCCCCTCTGGGGGGTGATTTCTCGCTTTCTGTCTCTCTGTCTCTCTCTGTCTGTCTGGCGAGTGCACACGCCCTATAGCAAAAAACTCTCCAAAAAAGAAAAAAACAACTAGTACAGTGTCTTTTTCTGACTAGACACTGATAGATACAGAATGATAAAGGTAAACGGTTAATGATAAGTAGGCAACTGGGCAAGAAGTAACAAAGGCCTGAAGGAAGACAGTGACAGTTGGTAGAAAAGGCCCAGACCCAGATCACTGATTAGATGTGTTGGGGAAGGAGGAGGCATGTCCTGCAAGCCTGGAAGTCCCTAGCTTTGGGCTCTAGTTGATGTTTTACTTTTTAAAAAGATTTTTGCGGGGCCGGCAGGTGGCGTGGTGGTTAAGGGTGCTGGACTCCCACATGGTTGACTGCGGTTCGACTCCTGGACCTAGCCGCTTTCTCTCTCTCTCTCTCTATCACTCTATCCCTCTCTGGTCAAATGGAAATAAATAAGTAAATGAATAAATAAAATTAAATAAAATAGTTTTTTTTAAAAAAGATTTTTGCCATAGGATGTGTGTGGTCACTGAAGAGAGACAGACAGAGAGGGAATGTGAGAAATTACCTCCCTGGGAGGAAGGCCATCCCACCATACCTTCTTGTTCTCTCGGGACTTGGAATACACTTGCACAATGCACCCGGTGTTGTGTGTGTGTGTGTGTGTGTGTTTAAGAGAGAGATTTTTGCTATAGGGCCAAGTACTTGCTGGAAAGATGGAGACAGACAGAAAGTGAGAAATCACCCCTCAGTGAGGATGGCCACACCACACACTCTTCTCCGTTCTCCTCTCAGGGTTTTGGGCATGCACATGCACCCAGAGTGAGTTTCAAGCCTCCAGGCCTGAGACTCAAACCACAGTTGGCCATGTAAGAATCTAGAGACGTAACTACGACGCCATCTGCTGGTCCGAACCCGGTGTGTTTATCAAGCTGCTGGGTCTGGGACTTGAACCTCCAAGTCAGCCGTGTCTACCACCCCAGCTGCTGGCCCAGTGCACTGCTTTTGAACTCTGTGCAGGGCCTTGTCCAAGATAGCGCGTAAACATCCCTGTAAAGAAAGCCTTCTTTGGGACTTGGAGCGTAGAGAACCCCACACAGTTTTCTCAGTCGACTTTCATTTGTTTTCATTTGCTCTAAATAACTCAGCGTCGCACGACAGTCGGGGAAATGCTGTGGTTGTTAAAAGCAGAGGCCCGAGAACACGCAGGCACTCAAGCTGCCGAGAACTTGCTGAAGAGGCAGAGAAAGACGTTTCTAATTGGCCGCATTTCATTTGGGAGCCTGGCAATTTGATGTAGGAGAAGTTTTAAGAAAATTGCTAAACCGCAGGGAATGATCCTAGAATAAGAGAAAATCACCCTGGCGCCGTGTATAATACAGGAGCAAATGCTACGCTGCGTCGTCGTTTCGGAGCTTCGCAAAGTGTGTGATATCACAGAGGACAAAAGGATTGACTCTTCAGCAACTTTGCTAGTTTTGATTTTCCTTTTAGGGCTTGCTGTCACGCTCTGTTTCTTCACGGACTTCCCATCTTGCTCTTCGTGAGTGGTAAAGATGACAGTTCCGAAGACCGCTTTCCTCGCCCATTTTTTCATTCTTCCCCCCCTCCACCGTTGATGTCCAGAGTCTTTGCATTCTCTGCAGCTAGTTCAAAGAACTAGCTCCGTTTCTGGAAACGTCCTCTACCTGCAAGAGAAGACTCAGAGACAGACGAGGCACTGCTAAAACATTTGTTTATTGCCTCTCCCACCCCAAGTATCATCAACAATAAGGCACGTGCTCCAGAATACATTTTAAATCATTTTTTCCTGAAGCTGTCGTCTAACTTTGGGCAGAGACTCCGACCACTTCTGAAGAGAAACCCCGTCCAGGTGTAGACCAGAGGCTGTGGGGAAAGGTTTCCATCCGTGCAGGATTACGTGGCAAATGCTTCAGGCCGGCGAAAAATCCAAGGACAATGAACTTTCTCACTCTTTCTTTTCCACTTGTTGTGTAAGGCCTCCAAACCCAATTCCCGTGGGGCCAAAATTTTTGGCATAGCAAACTGTGAACAAGGGAAGGAGAGAGAGAGCCAATGGTTAGCGCCATCGTTTCCGGTCTCTCTGGGCACAGAACTTGCTCATCTGTTAGAGGTATTGTGATAGATTGTGGGTAAGATGACTTCTAAATAAATTGAACTCTACTCACTGTAAACCCACTAACAAAAAAATGGCTTACATGTCTTTGCACTTCATTATGCGTATGCAGGCATTTTCTCACTTGAGTGGCATCCTCTGACTGGAAAGTGCCAGCCCAGCCTGGGCCCTCCTGCCTCCCTTCTGCCTTCCAGGTGCACAGAGCTACGTGCAGTTCCTGGCATGGCCCAGGGTGCCCTGCCTTCGGTGTCTTTGTCGTCTCTGCTCCCTGCTCCTAGAAGGCCTGTCTGCAGCCCACCTCCGTATCCTCCAGGAATCCTTCCCCAGCACCCCAAGCTGACCACTTTGCTATTTGTCAGCTACCACACAGTGAATGCTCCTTCTCTATTAATTTTTTCACTTTTAAATGCAGTTATTTACGTGTGAGTCTTCAGTGGCCTACAGCAATGATTTGGGGCTTTATGGCCTCCAAATGCCAAGGACCCCCATGTTTTCTGCTACCCGAAGAAGGCAACCACCTGTCAAATAGCAAGTCAGTTCCCGTTCTGTCTCATGGAGCAAACTCTGACAACTGGCAGTTTTATCAATAATGTCCTTCCTTCCGCCCCCTTTCCATAGCTCCTGCCTCTCCACTCCAGCATGCACGGTCGGAGAGTTTTTAAAGATGTGTTCTGATAAACTCAAGTAAGGCTGAACTAAGTTCTTCCTCCCCTACCCCTGTCTGCCACTCAGGATAGAAGAGACTGCAGTGTTATTTGTCCAGGCCTGAGGCCTCTCCCAAAGCCAGAGTCAGGACACTGTCTCCTGCTCTTCTTTCCGCCAAGTGCCCAGTTGCCCTGGACCATTGAGCATCTGCAAGCATCTGATCCCAGCCAGGTGCTCCAGTGGAGAGGACCAGAACAGGGTCAGGCTGGAGAGTCTTTCCCTCAGGTGGTTTCACTCTTCATTCTGAGAACCCAAACCCCGCTCAGACTGAGCAGCCATGCTCCTTGCAGACACAGGCCAGCCTCTGGGCACGAACCACGCTTCCCTGCCCAAGGGAACCACTAACCTTTGCAGTAAAGTTCTCCATCTTTGTCAGTGACGTTCGTGGACTCCAGACTCTTCCCACAGATGGCACAGCGGAAACAGGTTTTGTGCCAAGGCTGAGGGGCACGGGAGAATTGTGTAGTCAGTGAGGGGCAGCGTGTTCTATTCCCATTTCAGGCCCCCTGGCCAGCAGCACCCAAAGGTACACCTCTGTCTTATCCATGCTCTTTAACTAATGGCCTGCCCTGACCAGTTCTTCCCCAGGATTGGAGAAGATGCTGTGGTCTCAGCCAGCAGCTCTCACAGCCCTGTAAGTGGATTTATTGTGGGGATTTGTGAATGTATCCTTTCAGAAAGGACTAAACAGGAAACTACTTCTCCAGGCCAAGAGATTCAAGGAACAAATCAGGCAGAGAAGGGCTGGGTGTGGGGTAGTAGATAATGTTTCTATTAAATATAGTCAAAGAGGTGAAGTGAAGAAATGCAGCAATTATCCAGGTAATTCAACAGTGTTTTACCTCTCTGTGTAATTCTTTTTTTTTTTTTCTTTTTTTGGAGAGGTTTTTGCTATAGGGTGCATGGACTCTCTAGAAAGACAGAGAAAGAGAGACAGAAAGCGAGAAATCACCCCCCCAGGGGGGATGGCCATGCCACAATCCCTTCTCCTCCATTCTCCTTTCAGGATTTTGGACACGCACACACACGCGCCCGGTGTGAGTTTAAGCCGCTGGGTCTGGGACTCGAACCATGGTCAACTACATGGGAGTCTAGCGACATAGCCATTACGCTAACTGCTGGTCCCCTCTCTGTAATTCTGATGGTGTGGATCACCCAGAAGATTGACTTCCTCCTGCACACCCATAAGCCTACCAGGCACAGCCTAGACATTCTAGTCTGTCTTCAAGTAGCTGGACTTGGGGTGGAGACTGCCCTGTAGCTGAAGTCTCACCCTCATTTGGATTATACAAGATTTTTCTCTTGCTTGATGTCAACTCCTTTGGTGAACACTCCACCTCTGAGTCTGAACCCGAAGCTTGCAGAGGAAGATGCGTTACTATCTTAGATGTTGGGTAGCTTTCCTGAGAGCCACAATGTGTGCAAGCCAGGATGTTTCTAGATGCTGTGAGTATGTACTATGTCACCAGCTGTGATGCCAGCAGCAGGCTGAGCGAGGCTGCAGTGAGAGGTTCCCAGGGCTGACACCTTTCTGGAAGCATTGTGGGCCTGAAGGGCAGGGAGACTTTGTGCGCCTTTGCATCCACAGGGCTGTTAGCTGGTGCCTCCACCTAGTGGGTCAGTGCTATTACATGGAGCTGCACCTGCATGTCTAACTCTCCAAAGGCACCACGGTACAGTCACAGCTCGGGAAGGCAGGTGAGGACCTGTGCTTATTTTATGTTTTTAAAAAATTACCAGCAGGCACGTCAATTCACCAAAGAGAGACACAGAGAAAGGCAGAAGAAAGCACCCCTGCCCCTAGGAGGGCCATGGTCACTCCCCAATCCCTTTCCCTCCATTCTCTCTTCCTTCATGATTTTGGGCACATACACACACCACCTTGCGTGTTTTTCAAGCTTCTGGGTCCAGGACTTGAACTTTGTGGCTGGCCATTGTGAGATCCAGCTCCCTCAACCACTCACCCCAGGCCAGCCCATGATTATTAATCTCTAACGAGGGTCTAGGAGCTAAGAAGCATGAGAGGTCTGGTTTCCATGGGTTAACAGCTCCCAGTTCAGAGTTTTCTTCTCATTCTTCCCACCTGCTCCCATGCAGAGGAGCAAGTCCTGTTTGGCTCACACCAAAGCCTTACCTTGCCACCTCCCATGACCTTCTCCGCAGCGTACACCGACTTCCCACACCGAGGGCACTTCTCTGACTCTCCGAACTTTGCAGTGAACTTGGAAGGGTTGCTGGTGGTGGCTGAGCGTGCCGGCTTTGGGGACCTGGTAGAAATAGACAAGTGAACAAATTGTAAACCTCGCTTGGCAGACAGTAGGGGCCGTGTGACCTTGAGTGAGTTACTGTACGTCTCTGTGCCTCAGATGCCTCATCTGGGAAATGGGGATAATCGCGGTACCTTTCTCCTAGTTGCCGAGAGGGTCGCATTAGGTGACGTGTTACAGTGCTTGCCTGGCATGTAGTAAGGGCTAGTAAATGGTAGCCATAATGGGTTGAAACGTCCCCTTTATAAGACACCTAGCAAGTGTTCCAGGTTTGCTAGATGGTGGGATTGTCAGCTTGTGTCATTACTGCTGCGCTTGCTTGTCTATGATCTTCTGGACTCTTGAATTCCACTGCTTTCCTTTCTGAAGTGAGTTCTGAACGTTAGAGGGAAAGGTGGGGACTCTGTGGTTGGGGTTAATCAGCTCTTGACGAAGCCCAGCCTGCTGAGCTGACGTGCTCCGTGTCCCAGTTCAGGCTCATCCTGCATCCCACGCTCCGCGATCCTATGGCTCTGCCCAAGGTCGAGGCACAGCAGTAGCCCCCTGTGCTTTTACATCTCGCAGTGTTGCCTCGTGTGTTGTAGCTCAACCCTGTTGAGCAGGCAGGGCTAGCCGGAGGAGCGCGAGGGTCAGAGATGCCTGCCCAAGGCCTGGCAGCTCATGACTGACCCACCTGGGATCGAGCCCTGGGCCTCAGACTCTTGCTGCTCTTTGGCAGCGTCACAAGAAAGCCCTAATGTTGAAAAGTGCGATTTAGATCATGCAAGGCAGGGAACACAGTTCATATCATCTTTTCTCCTTTAAGAAAAATCTCCAACTGGGGTTGAGGGATTCAAAAGAATAAATAATAAGAGAAATTCTATCTCCACTTGTCCAGAGTCTTCTGTGTATTACTGTCTTTTGAGGGGACCAAATAACTGTGCAGATGATCTAACTGCTCTGCAGGGAGGCCCTTCGGAGGACAGACCCTCATTTGGACTGGGCCTTTCTGGCCAGGCCCACAGCAGAGCTGAGGTCTGATACCAGCCAACCAGTAGCTGCAGGCCACTGGCCGTCAGATCATCCTCAGTACTGGGCTGAAGGGCAGTGTGACCATCACGAAAGTGGACCCAGAGGAGCGGACTGAAAGATGGAGGTGACTGGGGGGGTACCCTGGTTTCCCTAGGAGCATTTGGTGAGATGCAGCACTGCACCGTCATCAGACAGCAGAGGTGACCCACAACAATCGTAATTGATTATTTACTCCTGAGGCACAGTTCGTCCCCGCAGACCTCCTCCCCTGCAATGTGGACATTCGTCATTTTATAACCCAAGGGAGGAAGTACTTCAGTGACAAGCACACAGAGCATGACCATTGCTTCCCTGCCATATTTCTGTGATTTACACAGAAACTCTCACAGGGGAAGGAATGAGACTTCACGCAGTTCTGCAAAGGTCAAACAATGGAACATCTGTATGTTCTGGGTTTTCTCTTGACGTGCAAACCAAGAGCCGGGGTGTGAAAGTAATTGCCCTTTAGAAAGCAGACAATTTAAAGAGAGTCTCTGGAGAGATGACACATTGTTAGAACTTGGTCAGAGTGAGTATTCCCATTGTCCGCAAGTCAACAATACAGTCCATTCTCCTACTTCCAGAAGATGTTGCTATGGGAACGGAGTGAACTATCCTGATAATTGGAGACGAACAGGGATGAGGAAGCAGGGCAGTGACTCACTGTTGGAACTGGAGACCGAGGTGCTCGCCCGTGTCCGTGCTGAGGCAGCCGGCGCCTTGTCCGTACCCAATCCCCTTGGGGCCGTACCTGCGCCCGTAGCAGACCTTACAGTAGATTTCCGACTCATGCGCAGCCACTGTTGTGCTGTCCAGAGCTTTCCTGCAGGCCACTGCCAAAGAGAGGAAAGGTCAGGGCGGCCTTGAGACTCTTGTCCTCGTCCCTGTATCCCCTATGCCATGTTTGGGGCTGGAAGACTCAGGGCAGGGGCCATCAGGACAAAAACACAACTCCTGACTGGAACGTCTATCTTGGGCCATAGACTCCAAGACAGTCCTGACTTCACAGATGAAGACGCTGGGGCAGAAAGAAGGGCAGTAGTGTGCTCAGTGGTCCCTAGCCATTGAGGCCAGCACTGGAACCAGGTGTGTGGTCGCAGATGTGCTGTGAACATCTGGGGAGAGTGTGAGTGTGTGTGTGTGCGCGCATGCCTCCAAGGCAGAAGAGGAACTTATTACCTTTTAAAATCAATATTGAGCAGTTTCTGTACTTATCATGGCCTTTGGAGGGCTCTGTGATACTCAAGAAAATGGTTGCCATTGCGGCTAATTTGGATCCAGTTCTGGAGGCAGGGGAGGTGGTGACAGGGAGAGATCTACCTCTGGGACCCCTGTACTTCTGTTGACTCACTGGTCACTGTGGCTTATCCGCAGTAAAGAGTCCCGAATGAAAGACAGATGTCCTGTTGTTCCAAAGAGAAGATTAAAGGAAGATTTTTTTTTACACTTGAAGAAAAAAGTAAGGATGTAAATGAAAGTGTCAAATGGTTAAGAGAGCCAAAAACCACATGGCCAAACACAGTTCAGATCCCAATTCCAGTAGCTGCTTGAGAAACACACTGTGTTTGTATGCCCCAAATCCCAACAAGATGGAAAACTGGAGCAGAAGAGATCGTGGCATGGCCATACCCTAACTGTCCTTCTGTGTCTGTCTGGCAAGCATATGCGCCTTCTGGCAATTAAACATAAATAAAGTCTGTTTTTTAAAAAAATAATATACATCTGGGGCCAGCAGGTGGCATAGTGCTTAAGGCACTGGACTCTCACATGGTTAACCATGGTTCAAGTCCCAGACCTGGTGACTTGAAACTCATGCCAGGCGTGTGTGTGTGTGCTGGAAATTCCAGGAGGCGACTAGAGGAGAAGGGATTGCAGCATAGCCATCCCCCCTGGTTTGGGGAGACTTCTTGCTTTTTGTCTCTCTTGTGAGTGCATGCACCCTATAGCAAAAACCTCTCTTCAAAACAGGTAATAATATACATCAATACCGTCATTCGGAAATGTGGACAGGTAAGTCCTGTGATGATAGTGTAGAAAGGCATATTCTCTACAGAGTCTATCACTTCAGAAACATACTGCTCAGATTCCCACTCCACCTATGAGTTCTGAGAGTAGTATCAAAGGGTTAAAAGAGCTATCCTACCAAATACTCAAATCCCTTCCACCGTGGCTCCTTTGAACAGGGAATCTTCCTCCTCCCAGGGGAAGACAAGACACCACCTTCCACGGAAAGCTTCCCTACTATTTCCTGTTCTGCTCAGGGATCACAGCTAATTATGGAAGAATGAAGCTAGATTTCCAGATCAAAACTCCCACTTTCTTTCTATAATAGTCTGTGCAGTAGATATTGGGTCATTGGAAAAGTCATGATGCTTTTTTGCACAGAAAAATATGTCATGACTTTTCTGACCAAATATAACTTCAAGGGCTGGGCTCCTTTGTTAGCCAGGGAGATATGCTGTCAGAAGCAGTAAGGCTGGATCAGCAGCAGGGAAAATTGAGGCCCACCTTGGTGAAATGACTCCCCAGTTGGTACATGGCAGAGCCCAGACTCAAACCCACATTCTTTTTATTCCAACTATAGTGTTCTTTCCAATATTCCTTACGTCTCTTCTCAAGAACACTTTCTGGTTTGGGACAAAAGGCAGTGAGTCATGGAATGAGTTCTCTTAAGCAACGAGTTCTGAATAATCATAATAATAATTACGTTGAATCTCGGGGATGTGTAAGATGACTTAAACATAATTTCCCATTAGTAAAACCCAAGGCGTTAGTAAGTCACCAGCCCAGGCACTCAGAGCTAATTACCTTAACCGTGGGATGTGAGGGATAATGGAAGCTCCTGCTGCTGATCCAGCCTTACTGTTTCTGACAGCATATCTCCCTGGCTAACAGAGGAGCCCAGCCCTTGAAGTTCTGTTGAAGCAGTTTGGAGCTGTGTGGACGGACACCTTATAGCCACTGGGTGAGGCCTGGTGGGTGTAGCCTAGTGACAGTGGGAGACTAGGTGGGGAACATCCAGTAAAGCCAGCAGAGAAGTAAGTGGCCCTTTCAAAGGCATGGCCAGTTTTCCCCCAGACTGAACCAGCTACTAGGACACTGTACAACACGTGTTGAGAGCCCTGGACCAAGAGTCTGAAGATGCGGGTTCTACCCCTGGCTCTGATCCAGATGCATGCCACCTGAGCATAGAGATGAGCAGTGACCCGTCCAAGGTCACATGGGTCTAGCAGAGCCAGAATCCCAGAGGAGCTCCTAGGCCTCAGCGTTCCTCCATCTTTGACGTGCGGCTCAGTGGCTGACGTCTGATGGTAAAGATTCCCTTCCTCGTGCTACTGGTGCCCAGGCCCTGAAGTGTTTCCCTGTCTGACTCTGGCAGATTTGGCATGTGTTATCCCCGCCTGACATAGGTCTCTTCTTAGGAAAGATCAGTCACAGCTGGCTTCAGTGACAGCTGGCCAGCAGGGGCGACACAGTGAGCCAGATCCATCCTGGCTCCAGACGAGTGCTGGCTTCCTTTGTCTGCCTAGTCACACTTGGTAAATGTCGCCACTGGTCAAGGTTTTCACAGAGAGAGCAGTGGCAGCCAGCGTATTCTGACTTGGAGATGCAGGCAAGGGGCCTGTGAGCTGGGCGAGTAGTTGGAAAAGTGTTTAAGAGAGCCTCGTTTTTTCTTTAAGGGTGCCCCAAAGCCATATATTTTTTTTTTATCTAATACCTTTTTATTTTAAAATTTACATTTTATCATTGTACATCTCTAAGGCTCACATTATGCTTTTTTGAAGGATGCATGTAGTACATGACAGTAAAATCGAGGATATTACCATATCTAACATTTTCAACATTGAACTTTACATTTTGTTGTCTGTTAAATGTTTCTTCCCTCTGTCCTTCCAGCCTGCTCTCTACAGCCCACTCCCCGCCCCTCTTACAGTCTTCGGTATCTGCACTTAACATCCTTACTATCATATCTTCAAATCTTTCCATTTCTGCCATAGAGGGCAGACCATCCTTATATACTGAGTAAGGATAGTGTGTGTCTTTCAAAGATTGACTTCCTTCACCCAGCATTACGTCTTCCGTATTCATCCACTTTGAATCAAATGACAGGATCTCATGGTTCCTTATGGTTCATTAGTATTCCATAGTATGTATGTGCCATAATTTTTCTCTTTTTTTGCATTTTTAAAATTTTTATTTAAAATTTTAGCTTTTATATTCAACCACTGTGTATCATTATAGCATACTAAGTGAATTTTCTCATCGTGGTACACTGTATATTGGTTCAATCAGATATTACCATACATGTTATCGTCAACAGATAATCTTCCATTTTTGTGTCCCTTAAATGGTTTTAGTCTTTCTTTTCCCCCTTGATCCAAAGCCATATTTCTAACATGTTCCCAGGTGCTGTGCTGGGCTTCTGGTTCCAGGCCCAGACTGAGGGAGCCACTAACCTATGGCGACTGTGGGTAAATGGAACTTGGAGATGCCCTATGGATGCCGAGGGCCCCATAATGTCCACCCAACTCACTGCAGTGGAAGCAAGTCTTGTGGAAACTCCTTCCATTGCACTGGATTTCTTCTGCATGGTAGACGGTCTTCTCACAGGCTCCACATTTCGCTCCTCCACCCCAATTTGGCATCTTGAAGACTCTCTGACCAAGATCAAGTCTAGCAGGATAGAAAGCAGATACCCTAAATTTAAGTGGTCCCAGGAGTCAGCCAATCCCAGTAATTCAGTGGTCTGAAGACCAGGATCATCCAGCCCAGTTTGGTAGTTCCTTTCTTCAGCAATTCCAGCAAGTAGCTACTACGTGCAAGTTGGGGAGTAAATTAGACATTTAGGTGGTTCTGAGTGGTCACTTTGCTTCCTTGGGACTCAGTTTCCTCTTCTAAATTTATCCCTATGTATTTCACATGGTTCTTAGAAAAACTGGGTGGGGTAATTTTATTTATATAAAAATATATACAAATATTAAGAATTATTGTTTTTCCATCTAGGGTTTAAGAAAACCTTATCAGAAGTGCAAATCACCTATGAAAATGGTATTGTCTAGCCCAGTGTTTCTTGAATCCCCTTGGACCTTGCTGAATTGCACATGCCTGTTTGGTAGATCTGGAGAGAAGCAGGAAATTCGGCATCTCTACTAGACTTCAGGCAGGGCCGATGCTGCCAGCAGTGGACTACCTTGGGTAGCAGGTCTTAGCTTATTTTTCTGAAAAAATATAGAAGAGCCAGCTCCAGAGTGCAGCAGTATCCTTAGTGCTCAAGAGAAGCCAGATCCCATATGGCAGCCTTGGTTCACATCCTAGCCTGGTTACCCTGAAACATGCTCGGCACGCTTGCAAGTGCCCAAGATCTGATGGACTAGAAGGGGATCATGGCGCGATCGGACCCCATGGAGAGTGTCTCTCATTCATGCAAGCACTGTTATCATGAATAAAGAAGACATTTTAAAAATTGTATATACATATGTATAATATGACCCAGCCATGGTAGTCTGGTTTGCTAAGATGCTGTGCTCTGCAGGCCGGGCCCCCGGGCAGGCCTGAATTAACTTCCTAGTCCAACCTAAAAGGCAGACACAAAAGTGCACACCTGTAATCCCAGCAACTCCAGAGGCTGAGGCAGCGGGATCATGCGCCCTTGGCTAGCCTAGGCAACATAGCAAGATCCTGTTTATAAAAGACACTCATGGGGCCAGATGGCAGCTCAGCAATAAAACACAGCTCTCTGAGAGGCTGACTCACATGAGAAGGTTCTGGGTCCACATCGGGAGACCTTCCTGAACACACAAGTCTGCTCATGCCCATAGTCTGGGGCTGGCTGAGACTGGGGTGGGTTGTGGTGTTAAGATCCTGTTGGGGATATTCTTCTCTCTGTCAACCTCCCCCCTGCTGTGTGTCTCACTCATGGAAGAAATAAATAAATAAAAATAAACTTAAAATTCTGGAGGGGGCTGGCACCTGGCATGGTGGGAAATGTTCTAGACTCCCATATGGCCAACCATGGTTCAAATCTTGGACCTGAAGGCTTGCTATCTTACTTTTCTTCTTGTTCTCTCTCTGTCTCTCTCCAGCCAAGTTAAGAAATAATAATAACTAACATTAAATAAGTCTTTAAAAATTAAAAAAAAATTTTTTTAAAAGAGCCAGGTGTGTTGGGGAACCAGCAGTTAGCGTAATGGCTATGTCGCTGGACTCCCACGTAGTCGACCGCGGTTCGTGTCCTGGACCCGGTGGCTTAAAACTCACGCCGGGCGCATGTGCGTGCGTGCCCAAGATCCCAAGAGGAGAATGGAGGAGAAGGGATTGCGGCATGACCATCCCCCCTGGGGGGCGATTTCTCGCTTTCTGTCTCTATGTCTCTCTCTGTCTGTCTGGCGAGCGCACGCGCCCTACAGTGATAATCTCTCAAAAAAAAAAAAAAAAAAAAAAGAGCCAGGTGTGGTGGTGTGCACCTGCAGTCCCCATTGGGAGGCTGAGGTGGAGGATTGCTACAGTGAGACCCTGTATTGGGAAAGAATAAGAAGAAAGAAGGAAGAAAAAGGAAAAGAAAGAAAATATATATAATATAAAATCTCCTGTTCAGATTTATTTTCTATACCTTTTTTTTTAGAGGTTTTTGCCTTAGGGCATGTGTGCTCACCAGAGAGAGAGAAAGATGGAGGGAAAGTTAGAAATCATCCCGTTGGGGGATGGCCACACTGTAATCCCTTGTCCTCCATTCTTCTCCTGGGATCTTGGGCACACATGCACATGTGCCCGGTGTGAGTTTCAAGCCACTGGGTCCGGGACTCAAACCATGGTTGGACATGTGGGAGTCTAGCGATGTAACCACTATGCCATCTGTTGGCCCATCTCATATCTCTTTTAAGACTATCTTTGCCCGGGTAATTAGATCCATTGGCACTACATGGGTTCAGTACTCTGAAAACCTCCCTCTGCTTTCGGGGCTGACCTCAGCTTGCTATGCTGTATCGGCTTCTCTTTAAGGCTCTTCCTCCCCACCCCCATACAGAGAGCGGTCAGTCTCTTCCTTTCTGCGTTGCAGTATTGTTTAGGGAACCAGATGGCACAATGTGCAGAAGGCACAGAACAGAGCTCACGGCACTGGATGGGAGCCAGACAAGGGCACTGACAGGTCCCCCTGCACCTTTGGAATACATTTTGCTGCATGAACCACTCGTGGCCACAGCCCCAGGCTACCCCTGACTCCCCATTATAGGCTATGTTTAAGAGATAGCAGCCAAAGAACAGGATTATCAAATCATTTCCTTTCTCTGTCTGTAAATGTTTCACAGTATGAATCCAAGTTTGGAGTTTGTCCAGAGGAGGACTGAAGTAGCCATTGATATCTAATGAAATGTTATGAAATCCTGCTGACCGCCCAGAGGAGGTTAATTTCCATGGGATTCATTGGTTTCTAAGAAGCTTGGTGTGTCATCTTGTCATTGACAGTAAGCACTATCAGACCATCCAGAGTGGCAGATTCTGACCTTGTCTTTCCCTTCTGGGAAGCCAGTCACCTTCTTATAATAGTTGGCGATTAACTTTAAGCCCTCCTGGGTCAACTGGTCTGGATTGTATCTCACAGTCTCATAACAAAGACAGTTTTTGCTAAGAAACAGAAAGTAACAAACAGACCACTGAACCTGACACTGGGCCTGAAGGGAACGTTCCTGTCTAAATATCCCCTCAAAGAGTTTTTCCTGTCCTGAAAAGTCATGGTTAGCCAGGAACATCCTACCCTTCCTCTTGTAGAAGCAGTCTTGGGTTTATTCAGTAAAATTTTAGAAATTAGCTCTTACAAAGGAGACATAACACTTCCGTTTCTATAGTTCAGGTTGTTTAATATAGTTGAAAGAATAATGGATATCGAGTTGAAAATCTTGAATTCAAGCCTGTATTCATTCATTCAGTTGCTTATTCATTCATTCACCATGAATTGTTACCTTCCTACCACATGTCAGTCACTACGCTCGGTGTAGTGAGGGATCATGGGAAAGGAAATTGTACAAATCACTAATCTGTGTCCCCTCATCGAGAAACACACACTCTAGTGAGGAAGGTAACCAGGAGCCAGAACGTCAGAAGAGAGTCTTGGGAAAAGTACTGTCGAAACTCAGTTGAGGGAATGGCTACCCACATTTAGACTGAGGATGACAGCAGTTGAATTGTTGGAGGGTCGCAGAAGTGGTCATGTTCAAATGGGATTCTGAAGGGTGTGTAGGAGTCCACTAGATAGAATAAAAGGAGAAGGATGCTTCAGGCAGAGAAAAGAGCAAGCAGAAAGGCGTAGAGGAGTTCATAGCCCCTAAAGTGCCCAATTTGTTTATTTTGGACTCTTGTTTAAACCTTAAATGTTTAGGGTAGGAATACATTTTTAATTGCCTGGTCCCCTCATTTATAACCAAGTGTGGCATTAAAAAAATAAGCATTTGGGGTATTTTCTTAGCTAACTTTTTTTTCCCTGAAATCTAACATTCTCTCATTAAAGATGATACATTTTTGAGAAATGAGCATCATTTTTCTCAGGTTCATTTCAATCCTGAGTTTCAGCATAATATAAAATGGAGGAGAAGTATATTTTATCCAGGAATGTGACAGTGACACTTGTGAAATTAATGATGTGGAAATGTTCAATGAAAACAACCGTAGGTCAAATTTCTCATTTCAGATCTTCAGTGGAAATTTCATTGGCGTGCCCTGTAAGTTAATGGGAGACAGATATGCCTCTTGGGAATGGATATGTCTATGTACTAGGGGACTTCAGAAAGTTCATAGAAAATGGAATTAAATACAAGTTTATTTTACTGCAGAAATTTGGAATCCATATGTAGTTTTTTCTTAATATATAACAGTTCATTTTCCATGAACTTTTGGAAGACCCCATGTATGGGTATATATTCAGCAATTGCCCAAATATTCTTTTCAAGTGACCGGCAGATGACATAATGGTTATGTCCCAAATATTCTTTTCAAGGGACCAGCAGATGACATAATGGACTCCCATGTAGTTGACCACAGTTCAAGTCCTGGACCCAGCAGCTTAAAACTCAAGCTAGGTATGTGTGCATGTGTGCCTAAAATCCTAAGAGGAGAATGGAACAGAAGGGATAGTGGCATGGCCATCTCCCTGGCAGGAGGTGATTTCTTACTTTCTGTCTCTTTGTCTCTCTGGTGAGTACATGTGCCCTATAGCTATGTATATGTTTGCGTGTGTGTGTGTGTGTATACATATATATACACACAGAGATTACAAAATGAGGGTAAGATTACAGATAATACCTTCTTCACAAGCAAATGTATATTGCCATTTTTAAGTGATCATAAATATCTAACATACATATGTCAAGACTTGAGACCCAAAATAGCAATTTGTAAGTACTCTATTAACAGATGCTTAGTGCCATTTCTAAAGATGGAAATGTAGTTGTAGAGTCTAAACACAGAAGGTGTCTCTACCCTTCCAGTGCTCACAGGCCAAAGAATAGAGGGTGTCTGTAGGTACCCAGAATCTGAAGACATGGATTCTAATCTTGACCTTGTGACCTTGAAGCTGGGTGAAAAATGTTGATAACATTATCAGCAGAGCACAGAGCCGTTCAGAAGATCGTGACCATCGAATGGGGTTTAAAGCAGTATTGAGAAGATATTCAAAGGCAAGTTATCATTACCCTCCTTATTTCAGGTAGTTCAAATAGCACCAATCTGCTCAGGAAGTCGCTGTGATTTGAAAGCACATTAGGCCCCAGCTTACAGTCATAACCTTTCAGTCTCCCTCCTGCATTGCTTTGGCATTCTTGTGTCTCGACACTCCCCTAGCCAGGCCAGGAATGTGAGTTTACCCCGGCAAGGTGCCAGAGGATGGGCCCTTTGTTTATCAGTGTTGCCTGGTACTGGTAAGGGTCACAGAAGGTGGGACACCCAATTTAGGCTTGCTGGTCACTTAGCCCCATTTGTCACTTGGGTCCTGAGCTCCATCACACCACCTGGCACCACTCTCTGGGCCAGTCTCTTAGTGGAGTGTGTTGTAAATGGGAGATTGACTGTCTGGAGTTTATGAGGCTGAGATAAATGAGCTTGGGGAGGTCAGACTCCGGGCTTGGAATCCCACACCCCAGCAAGGGATGACCTGGTGTGGACGTCTTCACAAATAACATTGTGCAGGAGACCACACTCCACATGTGCAGTGAGTGGGGAAAGCACCAGATCAATGCAGGAGCTTGGAGGTCTAGTTGGAGTGTTGGCCTCTTCAAAGCTGCGTGACCTAGGAAAGCCATTCAGCCTCTGCACGTCCGTATCATCTCTCTAGAATGGGGACAGTAGTCCCATCTGTCTAGCTGTTTCTTAGAGGATTCTCAGTTCAAGTACTGTCAAGTCACTTTTTAAAACTGTACAGTATTAGAAAATGTAAGAGCTAGTTAGTCCTAAAGCAACTCTAGGTTGTCACATAGTCACATATCAATCTGAATTTTTTAAAGAAAACCAAACTATGTCTCTTGGCCACTTTCTTCCTAATCCAGCCCTTCCTCCCTTTCTTCCTTCCTTTCCTCCTTCCTTTCTTCTTTTTTTTTGAAGGGAGATTATTTTGCTCTAGGGTGCGTGTGATCACTGGAGAGAGAGAGGCAGAAACAGAAAGTGAGAAATCACCTCCTGGGGTGGTGGTGGCCACACTGCAATCCCTTCTTTATTCTCCTCACAGGACTTTGGACATGCTCAGATGTGTGCCTGGTGTGAGTTTCAAGCCTCCAGGTGTAGGACATGAACCACAGTTGGCCATGTGGGAGTCCAGCGCCTCAACCACCACACCACCTGCCGACCCCTCATTTCTTTTTAAAAAAAGTTTATCCATTTGTTTCTTCCATGAGAGTGAAAGAACCCCCAACAGGGTCCTGACACAGTGATGCACCCCCAGCCTTCAGTCAGCTCCAAAGTGTGTGCCCAGCACACTCAAGGTCTCTGCACTTGAACCAAGAGCCTTTCCATGTGGCCTACCTTTAAGAGCTTCATTTTACCACTGTTCACCCTCTGACCCCTCTTTCTTCTCTTCCTCCCCACATCTCCTCTTCTTCCTCTTTCTCTCTGATCCCCCCAACCCCTTTCTTGCACTACCAACTGTGGAGCTGAAAGATAATAACTTAGGGCAAAAGCGGCAGGGGTACATAAGATGGGCATTTAGTGACTCAGCTTCTTTGCAGGGTTCCATTAAACAGCCTGGGAGGGGACCTTGGGCCAAGACTGAGCAGAGGCCTCAAGCAACAGTGCCACTGTGTTTCCTGCGTAGTGCTGGTTTCCTTGATCATTTTACTAGATGCCTTATTCCACACAGTGAACTGAATTGTCTACACTGGCTGAAGCAAAGATTTTGGATCATAAGAGCAAATATCTGGAATTGGCATGCTAATTATAAGTATTATTAGTGTAATAATGTTACTATTGAAGCTAACATGCCTGAAGCGCAGTCCTTGGGCCAGCTGCTGTGGTGTATCTCATTTATTTATTTTAACAACCTTCACGATAGTACTGTTATAACATTTGCTTGACAGATGGGGAAGTAGAGTCTCAGGGAAACTATGTTACTTGCCCTAGGTCATGGGGCAGGTATGTCTCTCTGACTCTAAGGCTGTCTTTGTATATTAACTTTATTTACTATTTATTAGCTACTCTTTGTCCATTGCTTTACATATATTATTATTAATACAACAGCCCACCAGAGAAAATTGTATTATCCTCTTCAGAAGATGAGAAAACCAGAGAGCTTAAGTAGCTTGTCCAAGATCACACAACTAGCAAAATAGCAGAGTTGGATTCAAACCTCGGTCCAAGGGTTCTATATTGCATGCTCCTCCGTACATCCCACTGGGGAAGGGACAAGCATCAGCACCTCCATTAGCCAAACGTCCCAGCTGATGGCAATTGAGATGTGACAGTCCCATGGTCTCTCTGTGAGACATGGAGTTAACTCATGGGTGGAAGTAGTAGGGAGACTGAACTCAATTCCGGAAAACAAAGGACTTTCTATGAATCAGCACTGTTTGAACATGGCAAGGGCTCCTTGGGCACTGGAAAGTTCCCCTCTCATGTTGATTTTGAGCTCAGATGGAGATGGAAGACCAACTGGCTGCACTCGGCAGACCCCCTTCAAGGATCCTTCAAGCCCGGAGATGGATTTAAGGATCTCAATAGCAATTGAGGCTTCACCGTGCAGAAATGCTGTCTATTGCTGTCCCCTCTCAAGCATGGCCTTTTCTCTATCCTTCTATTAATTCCGGTAAGAAAGGTGCTTACACATAGCGAGAACACATGAACTGTGGGATGAACCAGGCCAGGGCTCAATAACTACCTGTTGGACCTTGGGAAGATTGCTCAAATCTTGAGCCACGTCCTCATGCAAAAGACGGGATGAGAAGGCTTGTCTGAGAAGGCTGTCTAGGTGAAACAGGAGAAAAATAACAGCTGGAGCTATATGTAAGTGCTTGATGCATAGTAGGTATTTAATAATTGCAGTTGCTTTCATTCTCACTATTACTAGTAGTGGTGGTTACAGTGCTATTTTTGTATCTCCAGTTTTCAAGTCTATTTCCTTAAAATAAGCAAATCTGCCCCTACTTCTTCTCTATGGCCCTTCTGGGTCAGGCCATGAATCTACTGTTTCTCAGCCTTCAGAGTGTGCCACATTTGGGAACAGACATGGCCAGACCAGGTAGAGTTGTCCCCTCGGGTCGGATTAGGCTGCCTGGTACCATTGACTATGAGGCGAGATCCTAACCTCTGCTCAGGACAGCAGCTTCCTCTCTTTGGCTGCTCTGGTGCCTCAAATGAGCTCACTTTCCTGGACTCTGGAGCAAATGTCCCAGCAGCCCAAGGGATAGCACGCCCTTCCACTCCTATTCTAGTACACTCAAGGTCAGTGGCTTCTTCCTGAGCTCTGGTCCAGGTATCTGAAGTCCTCTGACTACAGGCCCCTTCCCAAGGCCTGGGAGGCACAGGTTGCTCATTTCCAGCATGAAAATAAATCTAGTGTTGGCTCTCACCCCTTCAAAGCTTAGACATGGTAGACACACCCTGTAACACATATGTCACACGTGGTCACCTCATGCCTTTTCTGAAATGATCTCTGAAATGGGGTTGACTTTTCCTCTCAGAATTCACTCTGTTCTGTTTTGACCTTTGTGATTTATTTTTAAAGATCACGTTGTACCCGGGTCTACATCCTAGGTCTGCCACTCTCTGGCCACGTGACCCAAGGCAATTACTATGTCTCCTTTAGCCCGAATTTCTACCTTTGAAGAATGACAGATAAGTCAAGAATCCTCCTCTGCCCACCCAGGGCAGTAAACAACCATCAAGTCACAACTGACCGTTTTCTACAGTGCGATGCACAGCCAGGCTCAGGAAAGGCTTTGGGCCAACCAGTGGTGTGGTGAAGGCAGCTGGCTCTCACACGGCTGACTGTGTGGTAGTGAAGGCAGCTGGCTCTCACATGGCTGACTGTGTGGTTCAGTCCTAGGCCTGGCAGCTTGAAAAACAAGGTAGGCATTTTTGGCGGTTGTGTCCAAAAATCCTGAAGGGAGAAGCAGCGGAGAAGGGATGGCGACGTGACCATCTGCTGTGGGCGGGAGGTTTCTCACTTCCTGTCTCTCTCTGTGACTCTCTCCATCTCATTCCAGTGAGTGCACATGCCCTCTGGCAAAAAAAGAAAAAAAAATGGGGGGGGAGGGAAAATTTCCATCCGTGAGAGAGACTTCGAGACAGCTACTGTCTCCCGTCCTGCCCTCCTTCTCTGGGAGGAGTAACTGCAGTTTGCACCTAGAGCATCGCGTTTCTCTGTGGCTAGGAAGCCCAGCCCTTAACACAGTACTCCTGGACACCTGAGCAGCACACTGGGGACTAGAAATCTGCCTGACACAGGAGCTGTAGTTCTTCTTATGTTCCGATTCCTGTATCCTTCCTCTTGTGAAGCAAATTCATTGTCATTTTTTTTTGGGGGGGGATGTTTTTGCTATAGGGCATATATGCTCGCCAGGAAGACAGAGAGAGAGACAGAGAGACAGTGAGAAATCACACTCCCCTCGCCCCACGGGCGATGGCCACGCCGCAGTCCCTTCTCTTCCATTCTCCTCTAGGGATCTTGGGCACACATGCACGCACCCCCAGCCTGAGTTTAAGTCACTGGGTTCGGCACTTGAACCGCGGTCGATCATATGGGAGTCCAGTGACATAGCCATTATGCCAACTACTGGTCCCTGAATTCATTGTCTTCTAATTCTTGGTCAGCTTATTACTCACTCCAGCTTCTGGGTTTTTATCATCACTCTTACACTTAGCTGGAAATCCTCCTGTAGGTTTGTCCCTTTTCTTAAAGGCCCCACATAGTTGTCGTGTTATTAAACTTCACCAAATACTTTCTGGTACTTCATCTCATTGAATGATCACCAATCCCTTTGAGATAGGTAGCCTTGCCCTAATTTTGCTCTTCAGAGGATAGAAACCCAGAGAAGTTAAAATGCTACTCAGAGTTTATACGGAATCTGTGATTGACGCGCTTTGGTTTTCTTGGATATGCTTCTCAAGGTTCCCAGGATTTCTCAATTTGTATTCTACTGATTCTGTCTCCACTTCCTCCCAGTGGATTTTGGCTGTTTGCCTGTTGATGCTACTGCTCCAGTCTTCCTTGAGCCCCTGCCCCCTTCCCTTCCCTCTCCTCCCTGCCTTCTGTCTAGCTTCCCATCCGTGATGGATGGCTTGTGTGTCTGGCCTGCAGAGCACCTGTCAGCCCAGGCCCCAGGGAGGGCACCAGGCCCTGGGAATCAGCTGCCCCTCCTGCCCAACAGCCGGTCGCTTTTCCACCGACCACGAATGACTGAGTTGTTCAGAAGGAAACCAATGCCAAGTCAGAAGAATCCCTCAGATTTTCTAGGTTGTAAAGCGGATTTACATCCATTGTGATGAATTGGATGTACTCAGAATTGAGGTTCAATCCCAGAAGTAAACTGAGAACTCAGACCATCCACACATCCCTACCCTTTCTTTCTGTGCGTGCTCACCCCTCCTTAAGGGTATTTCCCTGCCACAGTCCCGACACAGGAGATGGCCAACGCGTGCTTATGAAATTGCACTGAACTGTGTTGCAGAGACAAGTTTCCTCTGCCCGGTCAGCCAGACCTCTCTCTTGAATAAGTCACTACCCTGGTTCAGAGACAGCATAAAAATTATAGGCAGAAGTTTTGATCTTTCAGCAACATGTCCACTCTGATCATGGCTAAAAACCACTTGTCATTCTCAACCACACTCACGCTTGTCATTCACCGTGATAGTACGAAAAAAGTCCTTGTCTGGAAACCTAGAGGAAACACTGGGAATCAGTGGGAATTATCTCCTAGATTGGAACTATCTTCCCATTAAACAGAGCACTTTGAATGGACTTTCAACGTAGCAGTGTCTTTAGAGGGGTCCAGCTTTGATTAATTGTAATGAGTTAAAAGCAAGCCTGTTGCTGAACATCTTTGGGATGTAAAGTGTATTTTAAGCCAACAATTCAAAATCTTTGTCATTCACCCGCACCTTTTTCACAGCGCACTTCCCCATAATGGGGCATGGGAAAGCTGTCTTCTCTGTTGCGTCTACTACAACTACTTTGTGATCATGCAACTCTTTATTTTAGAAAAAATGTCCCCATGTTTATAGGGATCCCAGCAGAAGCAGTGACTCAATGCCCTGAGGGCAGAAACTTTCTCAAATCACTCATCCACTGACTTCGTGGTGGCTTTAGGACGGTTGTACAGTGCAGTTGACTTTTGGTCCAGTGGGCTTTCTATGACTTTTTTCTGCTTTCCTGCCATCCCAATTTAAGATGATAAAAGCCAGTATTCCATCATGAAAATAATTTTAGACCAAAAACAATCTCATTTCACTGATTGTGAGGTTCCCTTGAATCCATAATTGATCATCTTCCTCTTAGGAATTTTTTGACAACCACTAGATCCACACCAGAATCAAGTATAATGTGAGGGTCCTCACACAGAATCTTGAGTGGATGCTGGTTCTTTGGACATGAACCGCACCTTTATTCTAGGGGACCCTTTACAGTACCAATCAAGCACCAAGCCAGTCCACCCCAGCCCCAACGCCTGCTCCACTCCACTTACCAGCCTGAGTGGTCTCTGTCGGCTCAACTGAGTAAGGGGGGCTCTTATCCTCTTTAAATATATGGAGGCTGTCACCAGCCTTGGCCTGTGGAGGGAAGGGGAGGAGGGAGGCCGAGGGGAGAGGGTGAATAAGACATGAGTAACACAACTGCTATCAGAGTCTGAAAATAGACTGTGACCAAAGCTCTGAATTTTGTTCCCTCCACGCCAGCTGTAAGGCTCTTGGAGAACAATATCACTTGGGTTCTATTTTAATGACCAATTGCCTAGGACACCAATGGATCGATTTGTGGAGTGTATAATTTCTGACCACGTGGTAGGAATAAAAACAGGAAGAAAGGATTTTATGTACAAATTATTCTTCCAAGCCCCTATCCCACTGGCCTTCTTGGAAATCAATACAAAGTACCTGCAAATGAATCATGAGCCATATCTGGGAGCCCTCGGGAACTCTGAGACACAGGGCACTACACTCGTGAAGAGAACTCAGAGCTAAAAATAAGAGTGATGGGTGTCTGCAATGATACTGAGATAATCTCCTCAAAGAAGCTAGCTGGGGTTGGGGGAAAGACCAGTTAATCCATGTACCCTATGAAGAAAAGTTTTTTCCTCAAAAGTGTGAGTTAGTTCATCATCTTTTTCTAATTAAGGATTTGACACATCAGTGCATCCTATTTATCACCATAATATCATCTTCATGACAGCTCTTTTTTTTTTTAATTACCAGAGGGCATTGTCCTTGCCAGAGAAATGAAGTGTAGAGGGGGTGGGAGGCACCCCCTAATGGTGCATAGTAGTGCTGTACTCTTTTCTCTGTTTCTCCATCTTGTTGGGATTTGGGGCGTACACACACACACATACACACACACAATGTGGGTTTCAAGCTGCCAGGGCTGGGATTTGAGCCAAAGTCAGCCATGTGGGATCCAGCTCCCTTAACCACTGTACTATGAGGCTGGAGCCATGATACCTTTTGGTAAGTCTCTGTAGACCCACATTTTCTTAGGAGCTCTCATTTCTCTGCCTAGAATGCATAGTTTGGCTATGATCAAACATCATGGATTCATATGAATTAGAGAATTTGATAGCTGAGAAGTTCAGCAGTTCAAAGACTAATAGTTTATGTTATAGATGAAGAAACTGAGGCACCCAGCTTGCTCAAGACCAGACAGTGACAGGGCCCAAATTGGAGTTCAGGCCATCTGTTCCTCAGGTTGAAGTCCTTTCTTCTCATGTTGACCTGGGCGTCAAGGTTAGTAGTAGTCGAGATAGTACCAACCAGTAGATTTATGAAATCCAGCCCTTCAGATCAGTCATATCAGCCCTTCACTTAAATAAGTGCCCTGAAGTCTTGGTTGAATGATGGAATATTTCACTGTCAGTAGGGTTGTGGTAATTTCACAAAGATGGCCATGGCACAGCTTCATATGAGATATCCTTGATCTGTGTGTTTCATGGAACAGCATGCTCATCTTAGAATTGAGACAATGATGAGTACCCTGCAAAGAAAGTTAGGGATAGAAATGACTTTAGAAGTCCTCTAGGATAGCTGGTGAATTTCAAATCTCTATGGTTTGTTTCTGGTTTTTATTTTTTGCACCAGAATACTTTTTTCTATAGATAATTTAAAATGGGACATTTTATATACATATATATATATATACACACACACACACACACACACATATATATATATATATATGGAGCTTCATTGCCTGAAATAAATAGCATACTTTCATTATTACCACCTTATCCTCTCCCCATACCCTGACCTTACCTTTTATACTCCTGCCTATGGCAAGATGTATAAATCGTCTGGGACTTCAGTTTTAGGTTGCAATTAGTTTTGCTCATATGTGTTAGCAGTTATTTAAACCTACTTATAATTTTTACTGCATTCTTTATTCAACTATTATATACTTTTTGTATCTTACATTTTTTAATTTTGTTTATGTGTATGTGTGAGATTGAATGGGTTCTTGAGGATTCATTGAGAGGGTATGTTGTAAACTTAATAAATTCTCATCTGATGGAAAGGGTCTGTGCCTTAGTTTGCCAGAGCAGTAGCAACAGATGACATTGACTGAGTGGCTTAAACAATAGAAATGTCTTGTCTCACAGTTCTTGAAGCTAGAAGACGCAGAGGGTTGGTTTCTTCTGAGACCTGTCTCCTTAGTTTGAAGGGCACTGTTTTCTCTGTGTCTCTCTCTGTAGATATCTCTGCCCTAATCTCTTCTGAGAAGGGCACCAGTCATTTTAGGAACCTCCTAAATAACTTCATTTGACCTTAATTACCTCTTTACAGGCTTTGTCTCCAAATACAGTCACATTCTGAGGTTCCAAGGGTTAAGACTTCAGCATACTTTTTGAGGCACATGGTTCAGCCCAAAGTAGTCTTAATTTTGGTGTCCACTTGAATTTCAGTTTGGTTAAAATTAGGAATAAAGGTTCAAAATCAGTTTTTGTTAGAATTTTCAGGAAATTTTCTACTCTAGTAATGTTGTAGATGGTATTTCTGGTGCCAGTCTTATTCATGTTCTTTCATTAACCCGGTTTGTACCATTTGGAAGTTTTTAGGATCTTCTCTTAAATTTTATGACAGTTTTCTTGGTGAAGGATAATGACATAGCCTGGACCAGCAGTTGGTGTTATGGTTATGTTGCTGGACTCCCACGTAGTCGACACGATATGAGTCCCAGACCCAGCGACTTAAACTCATGCAGGGCACATGTGCATGCCTGCCCAAAACTGCAAGAGGAGAATGGAGGAGAAGGGATTGCGGTGTTGTCATTCCCCCTGGGGGGTGATTTCTCGTTTCCTGTCTCTCTCTCTCTCCATCTTTCTGATGAGCGTACCTGCCCTATAGCAAAAATCTCTCCAAATAAAAAAGAATAATGACATAGCTGAAAAAGAAGTTAAAACAAAAAGCAATCTAATTTACAATAGCTACAAATAAAATAAAATACCTAGGAGTAAATTTAACCAACGAGTTGGAATATCTCTATAATGAAAACTTTGAACCACTGCTGAAAGAAACTGAACACACACAAACAAATGGAAAGACATCCTATGTTCATAGATTGAAAGAATAAATATTGTTAAAAATGTCTATACTACCAAAAGCATCATACAGATTTAATGCTTTACCTAACAAAATACCAGTAATATTCTTCACAGAAATAGAAAAAAAACACACATAAATTGGAATGTAATCACAACAGTCCCCAAATAGCCAAAGCATTCCTGAGCAAAATGAATTGAGCTGGAGGCATCACACTACTGAATTTCAAAATATACCATAAGGGCAGAGTAACAAAAACAGCATCATACTGGCAAACATAACAAAACAAAAACACACACAGACCAAATCACTTGGAACAGAACAGAGACCCATCAATAAACCCACATGCATTTGGCCAGCTGATTTTCAAGAACATCCACTAAGGGAAAGACAATCTCTTCAATAAATTGTGTTGGGAAAACTGGACATCTATATGCAGATGAGGAAGCTAAGCCATATTTCTCACCATATAGAAAGGTCAAGTTCAAATGGATGAAAGTCTTATACTCTAGTAATGTTGTGGGTAACAGTTCTGGTGCCAGTCTTATTCACATTCTTTTATAACTTGTTTTGTACCTTCTGGAAATTTTTGTGATCTTCTCTTAAATGTTAGGACAACTTTCTTGGTGAAGAATAATGAAATAAAACCCCAAAGTATTAAGCTAATAGAAGAAAACAAGAAATACTTCAGGACATTAGTACCAGCAAAGAGTTCATAACTAAAATGGCAAAAGCACAGGTAACAAAGCAAAAATAGACAAACAGGACTATATAAAGCTAAGAAAGCATCTGCACAGGGACTAGCAGATGGCATGATGGTTACATCGCTAGATTCCCACATGGCCAACCATGGTTCGAGTCCTGGACCTGGAGGCTTGAAACACATTGGGCGTGTGTGCATGTGTGCTCCAAATCCTGAAAGGAGAATGGAGGAGAAAGAATTGTGGCATGGCCATCCCTCCTTGGGGGTGCTTTCTTGCGTTTTCTCTGTCGAGTGCACATGCCCTACAGCAAAAATCTCTCTAAAATAAATGAATAAATGAATAAATTAATAGTGCCTGCACAGCAAAGGAAACAATAAGCAAAGCAAAGAAAGAGACAACCCACAGGATGGTAGAAAACATTTGCCTACCATCGATCTGGTAAGGGATTAGTAACTGTAATATGTAAGGAACTCAACTCAATAGAAACAAATATTTTAAAAATGAACAAATAACCTGAATAAACAGTGCTCAAAAGAAGACTTAACAGTGGTCAACAAACATATGAAAAAGTGGTCAGCATCACTAATCATTAGGGAAAATGAGATCAGAATCATCAGAGGGGCCAGCAGGTCATATGGCAGTTGAGGTGCTGGACTCCTCCATGGCCAATGGCGCTTAACATCTCAGACCTGGCGGCTTGCTTTCTCACTTTCCCTTTCTCTCTCTCATCAAATTTTTAAAACTAATAGCAATGACAAATAAAATGTATTTTTTAAAAATCACAATAAGCTATCCTCTCATCCCAGTTAGAATAACTATTGTCAAAAAGGCAAGAAATAATGAACACCTACTGTTGGTGAGAATGTAAATTATTATAGCCATTACAAAAACCAGTATGATGCTTCCTCAAAAGATCTAAAAGTAGAACTTCAGTATGATCCTGCAGCCCTACTACTCCATCTCCAATGGAAAATCAATTAATATGTCACAAAATATCTGCATTCCAGTGTTTGTTGCAGCACTATACATAATAGCCAAGGTACAGAAGCAACCTAAGTGTCCTTCAGCTAATGAATGGATAAGAAAAGTGTGGTAAACACACACTCACACACACACACACACACACACACACACACACAATTAAATACTACTTAACCATTAAAAAAGATGAAATCCTATCATTGACTTTACGTGAATTAGCCCAGACGACATTATATTAAGTGAGATAAGCCAGGCACAAAAAAGAGAAATATTATATATGAAAATTGGAAATAAAAATGGCCTTACAGAGTAGAGGGATGAAGCATGACTGCTGGAGGCTGGGAAGGATGGAGGTGAGGGGAGGAGAGAGATGTTGA